AAGATATAGCATGTGCATTTAGCCTTTATAATGACTGTGATATGAGCTTAAAAGTAAAGGCAGTAAAAATACCCCAAAAACGCCTAGGGCCCATAGGGTTAAAATGGCGTAACGAGCAGCCAAAGCGAGCTATAAATGTATACATGAATGTTTACACATGTTTAGGTAAGCTCGTTAGCTAACGTTAGCGTTGATTAGCTCGGTTAATCCATACATACCAAAAACTGGTCCATCAGCACTTACATGCGTCGAAGATATCTTCTCCTCCTTTGATTTCTGCGACTTGTGGACAGCCGCAGAAATAACACTAAAACCCATGCAATGGACATTACAACGTTTGCAGACGGCATTTTGAATGTTTGTAATAAACACTTGTCACCTCTGTTGACGTAGCAGCCAGCTAGCGACAACGTTTGATGACGTAGCGGTAATCGAGTGCTGTCCCATTTCTTAGGGGAATATCTTCACCCCTAGCCCTTCGCACTCCGTTTTGAGGGGCAAGGGCTAGACAAAGGGGAAGGGGTAAAAATGAGAATTGGGATGAGCCTAAAAGTAAAACTAAACTATTCATTCTACTGGGTCAGTACGTGGTCTAACTTGCCTCTGCAGCAGCTGCTCCTCTCTGTTGATCTGATCTGATTAGCTCTGAACAGATCAACAGTTCAGTTATTTACCCCGTGACTCACAAAATTCTGCTTCGCCTGTGTCAGTGCATAGACCCACAAAGACTAAAAACGAATTTAGAGATGAGACATAGAATGATATAAAGGGACACACAGGCATTTAAAAGAAAGAAATTAATGATTCTAGTAGTCTAACTCCACAATTTAAGCCAGCATGGTGGTGTAGTGGTTAGCATTGTTGCCTCACAGCAAGAGGGTTCAGGGTGAGGGAGCCCCTCTGTGTTTGCATGTTCTCCCCATGTCAGCGTGGGTTTTCTCTGGGTGCTCCAGCTTCCTCCCACAGTCCAAAGACATGCAGCTTAATTTGGTGACTCAAGATTGTCCGTAGGTGTGAATTTGAGTGTGAATGGTTGTCTGTCTCTATGTGTCAGCCCTGTGGTAGTCTGGCGACCTGTCCAGGGTGAACCCTGCCTCTCGCCTAATGTCAGCTGGGATAGACTCCAGACCCTTGCGACCCCTGACAGGATGAGCAGTTACAGGGAAAAAAAATTAAGAATGACTCCACATTTAAGTACTATAGATTTCCCAGTCTTTTAACTTTTTCAACAAGTGTTTTCTGACATGTATAATGTGTTTAGATGTAAATCTCAGATTTAACTTTACCCTGACATTAAGTCTGCTATTAGTGTCAATAATTTGTGATATTACCTCTGAAAATAACTGTGATATTGTAATCTCATATTGTGACATCCCCAATAAACAGATTCTCATCCAGATAGAGCTGAGTTATAGCAAAATGATTTGTTTTGCCTCAGTATCGCAGTGGCAGATCATTAAAACTTGACAGCCAACACAGACACAAACATGTTGAAACTATCAGCACGCTGCAGCTCTTTGCCAGCGGTGAGAGGTCATCAAAATGATGTTTGAACTAGAGAAAAGGTATCAGAGTTGCCAGGGGAGCTTGTGTAGAAGCCTGCGATGTATTTGTAATCAAATAACCTGGAAAAAAGCTCCGGCTAATGAAGTGTAATACCACTGGGCTCATTCTGACGCTCATTTGCATGCAGAACGCAACCATCATGATGTGAAACCCAGCTCCTCCAGCACACCGGCCAATACCACACCATCTGGTTCTAATAATGATATAATGAATTAGAAACGTTACACACACCAGCTTTAAAGTTAATTAGCAGCGCTTCAATCGTGGTGAGGAAACAAAAACATATATATTTGCAAAAGATACAGATATTTGAGTTTGACAGTGAAGATAATGTGGGTGAAATATGGAAACTGTGGGATAATTGGGTATTATGCCTGGTGTATTTCTTTTTTATCCAGTGCCTATACTGCAGCATGGTTCCACACCAGTGTTATTTCTTCTCTGTGTAAAAGACTAGTGCTGAACTGAACTTTGGCTCTATGGTTCAGTGCTCTGTAGTCTTCTGTTCAGCTGCTGATATGAGTAACAGTTCCCTACTCCCCTCCTCTCTCTGTTTCGCTCTCTTTTCCTCTCCGTACTCTGGTTTGGTGGCAGTAGGAAACGCTGCAGCTTCAGAGTTCCTCTCCTCTCCTTGCTTTGCTTCCTCTTCACTCTCCCCTCTACTTTCCTGACTCCTCTCCTCACTTTCTATCCCTCACTGTTCCTAGCTCTCATTTTAACCTCTCCTTTCATCTCGTCCTCTCCTCATCTGCCATCTTCTCATCTCTCTCTTACCCCTACTCACTTCACCTCCCTCTCATCCCCTCCCACTCATCCTCTTGACTCCTTTCTTCTCCTATCTCCTCCCCTCTGCCTCAGGATTAGGGTGTAACTCTCCACTGTCGTCTATATATCCGCCTGGCCTACTTCAGTATTTTTGGACACTACATAGTGCTCACTGCCAGCACTGCCACTGTGGGAGAGACATGCATTATTAAAACCTCACTCAGTAGCTCTCTCCGGTGTTCCCTTGTTCTCCCTTTTGTTTCTGGTTTGCGTCTCTGTCCGCTGGTGAGCATGTGTCTGTGGGTGTGTTGCTCGTGTCTGCTTCCAGTGCATCTGTCTCCTTGTTTGCATCCATTTCTGCCAAGTCAGAGAACACAGGCAGACGTCACATTCGTGTGGCTCCCATGACTTGCAATGATTTGGCATTTTTGAGCTTGGAGATGTTCCTTTCTTGTTCCCCTTTTATTGCAAACTTGACTTCTCTCTCATGTTTCACCCCACCGTGTCTCCTCAGAAGCAGGAGCTGTTGCTGAGAGCCTCAGTCAACTGTCTAAGCTCCCTGCTGGGCTTCCTTCAGAGACAGAGTCCCAATACAGGTACCAGATAGAGAGACAGCTTGGGATTGAGCTAATGACCATTATCAGTACATGGGCATATGTAGAGAGAGACATGAAAGAGAGTGTGTATGTGTGCAGGTATTCTTAGCTGTTATTCCTTCTCCTAATATCTTCACTGCATGTTTGTTTAGTGTTTAACATGCTTGCTGTATATCATTAGTTTTCAGTAATTGCACCAGGAGAAACAGAGTGAAATTAAACAGAATTGATTTGAATTAGGCATCCTGACTTGTAATTTTTCTCCCCTTGGGTTTGTTTTCTGTGTCTGTGTGTTAGCAAAGTTTGTGGTGTGTCAGCCATGGACTCGATTCCTCCTCTACTGCCTGCTCAGCTCAGAAGAGAGCTGCCGTCTGCACCCTGCCATTCTCAGACTCAACACAATTGTAAGAGGCTTTACACACTCACACACTATCAACTCAAATCAAGTATAATTTCTTGGGCATGGTCCTGAGCAGTGATAAATATTTCATATTAAATTCATAAAAAGTTAATGAAGGTAATAAAAACATTAAAGTGTTAGAAGTATTTGAATCACAGGAGTAATGAGAGTGAATATTTACAGTGTTAGCATGCTGACACGGTACAACACATGGAAATTAAAGAAACATTATTACTGTATTTCGTGTTGTGTGAACTGAGGCTCTCAACACTTTTCATTTATTATTCAGTGGAATCGGGAGGAACTGCTGGTCAGCAACATTGAACCGCCTGTCACATTCAGACACCACTTTGGGTTTGTCTTACGGGGGGACACCCCACGTGAAAGCAGTACTTCATGCACTGGTGAATTTTAAGTCCTAAGTTTATGTCCTATTGTGCTTCCATAACACATAATTTTCAGACTAGTGGAAAGAAAACGTCCAAAATACACATTTATGTATTTTAGCTCAGATTTGTGTACTTGAAATGTATTCAGAAAGCATATGTTGAATTAGATGTTGGCACATACTTTCAGAAAACTTGAAATACAAAAAATTATTGTTTTAATGTAAGTAATCGACTGGGGAAGTCTCGTGGTGATATCTATTTGTTGAAGGTTTAACCCTATTCACCTAGGGTGTCTCCCCTTATATTTGGGGATTGATGTGCACCTTTGCCACATTTATTTTCCAATTATTTATGTATTTGTTTTGAACGTTTTAGAAACACCCTCAAACAAGTACATAGACAGTTAAGACAAAATAAAATCACAATAGTAATACTTAATGGGGAGAAAATAACACATAAGCCAGCTAGGTGGATGGTCAGAGATCCATAAGGGGTTCCCATGTTCTCAGAAAGACCTACCCCTTATTTTTTAAAATGTAAGTGCATTGTTCAAGTTGCACTTTTTTGCTATGTATGATAAAATGCCAATCCTCTTAACAGACGCAGGGTCTAGCGTCCTGCTCAGTTCCATACCAAAGAGGTATCGTGCTGGCGAAATGTCAGATGGAATCCTCAAGACCTTAACAGCCAGATTGTGCACCTCTTTTCAAAAATGAGTTTCTGCATTCCCAGAAAACACGAATGACTGACCCTGTACGTGTTTCACATCTGTGACATTTAGAGGATGAGCTAGGATATATCTAACTCAGACGTAGTGGGGTAAGATACATCCTGTGCATACATTTATAGTTCTGTTCAATTATTTTGTAACAAGACAATGAAGAGAAGACATTCTGACGTATACTTTCCCACTGATCATCAGTAAACTCACAACCCAAATCTTTCTGCCATACAGTCTTCAGGAGATTCAAGGAGGAACTATGATGTTCTATCAGCACTATAGATTAGAGAATTTTTTCTTTTTAATGATGTGGAGCTCATAGAATTTCCTCCATTTTTGGCAGCCCCCAAGGAGAGCCATCCTGCTCATTTGAGACTAATAATGAAGTTATGAATTTGTAGGTATTCATAACCTTTGCCACATTTTAAAATCTTTAATATCACATTACTGCACGATGCCCTGTAGCTCAGTGCATAGAGCGGGTGTCCCATGTACTAAGGCAATGTCCTCTCCCTCTCTATCTCCCCCCTTCACACTTTCATACTGTCCTATCAAATGTAGGCAAAAAGCCAAAAAATAATCTTAAAATATCACATCGCTTCAAAAGGATAACAGCTTTATTGCTGCATTAATCTTCTACTGTACTTCCCATGACCATTTTTATGTCAAGGTCTCACCCTGTGTTACGTTTGATTCGGGAAGCAAGTTTTGTTTTCTCGCATGCCTCTGCTGAACAAAGAATCTGAAAACAGATTTGGAGTATGGGGGGGAGGGCGTATTTTACAACAGCAAACTGTATCAAACATCCATTTACAAACTCTCACACAACTCGTGCAGTATAATTCAAGTCTCATTTATCCAGTCGTGTGCTCAGTACTTCTCAAACACATGCACGTTTCCCTAAATGTTTCTGTATTCAGTCTCAGGAAAGGATGAGTAGTGCACCTGCGCTGTTTATTCAGAAGTGTTTTTAATACTAAGGTTGCGTACTGAGCATACTGCCGGATAAATTAGACTCTGGAATACACTGCCCAAGCTGTGTGAGAGTTTGTAAACAGATGGTTTGATATAGGGTTGCTGTTGTGAAAGGCAGACCCCTATGACTTTAATTCATCAAAAATGTTCTGTTTTTTGATTCTTTGTCCACAGAGAAGGCAACACAGGATTAGTATTGATATACACATGATCATTTGTAGGATGAAGTATTCCTTAATGATTGCATTTGTGCATGACTGTGCACATGTATCTGTACATCTCTGTGTTGTGTCCTCTGCAGCTCCTGCAGCACGGCAGTACGGCGATGATGTGGGAGCCTGACCTGCTCCAGGTGATGGAGGCAGTGGAGAGGAGGGGGGTGAAGGAGCTCAGCAAGGAAGCAGCACAGGCCCTCGGGCTGCTCCTCACACAGGTACACCAGTTCATAGTGTGCACACACATGCACACTGACACACGCACAGATCAAATAATGTAGGACACACTTTGAAACCATTTTGTGGATTCTCACAGCAATAGGATTTTAGCACACTTACTCGTGAATATCTAAATTCCTTGAATGAATTAATTAGAAAAGAAATCAAGTTCATAGAAAGTTCAGTATCAGTCGGGTTCACAGTGTTTGTACTACTTTGAATATTTTTATTTATTTACTGTGAAGAACAGCGCAGGCAGAAAAACAGATACAGCAGGGGAAATGTGGACGAGGAAGACCATTTTGTTTATGCAAATAAAGTAGCAACATTTCGCATCAGTAGCCACAGTGTGGGACTCTATCATACCTTACATAGCAGTGAGAGGGAAATGTTCAACTGAGCGCTCTAGTCTAATGATGCAGTCAGAAAGAGTGGTCCAGAGTGTAAGGGAAGAGGTCACCAGTTAGGTTTGAGAGGTAGTGGAGCTCAGGTGTAGCTCTGGGAGCCTCGGCCTGCTCTAAGCCTGTTATCTGGGACTCTGCACCTGCCTCAGACTCATCTCACATGAGCAGCCTTGCACTTTGCCCTTTCCAAACCACTCTTCTATAGGGATGGGAACTGTAACTTGGATCCAAATTGGAACTGAATAGAAAAAGGCAAGTACTGGTTGCCTGTTAGAAAATAAAATCGGTGCTGCTTATCAGTTCCTGGTGCTCCTTCTAGACCAGTAGTTCTCAACCTACAGTTCCAGGGACTGTTAGGGGTCATTTTGGGATTTCAAAGGTTCCCCAAAGGAAGGAAGTTTATTTCCCCTATTAAATTCACCAGAGAAGTGAGCTCAGTGTGAGAAAAGCCCCGTTTCCTCTGAGCAGTACGGTACAGTTCAGTTCTGTACGCTATTTTCTGTTTCCACTATGAAAAGTTGTGGATGGTACCAATGGAACCGTTCTGTCCCGTCCCCATGTTTGGTCCCCCCTCTGTTGGGGTACCTAGCACACAGATCTGGTACTAAAAGGTGGAGCTGTGAACACTGCAGTCTGATTGGTCAGTAGAGGATGGTCACTGCTCAGGGCTGAGTTGTGTCTGGTTTTGAGGCTCATGTAACCACTGTTCATACTGTGGAGAGTTTTATTAGTAAACTGTAACTATAAAATGAAAAGATGTTTTGCTGCCTCTCACAGCAGCTGAAAAAATAACTTCATTCACTGGGCCAACTGCCGGGCGACTTTTACGGTGGAACGTTAACTTGTAATGTTACTCAGTGTATGAGGTGACGACGTGAATCCATCAACACACATTAAATTTAAATTTCACTGTGACAACTTTGACCATTACTTTAGTTTTCATTTTCTCTCTTGGATGACATACACTTTTAGTAATGAGTGGATCTTCAAGCTTTTAAGAATATATATTAATTTCGACCAGCTTTTGTGAACTGCATATATCCCAAACCTCACTCGGAGGAAAGAAAGTGTTGCAGAGCATTGTTCCTGTGGGCTCCAGCAACACTAAACCCCTGACCTTGCCTTAGAAGGAGTAAATGCACAAATCCATAATTTTTAAATATCCCATGGAGAGAGACTCTCACTGCAGCCTGTTTTATTTTATTCTGAAAATGTCAGCATGCAGCCTCGTTCTGTGGACGATAAACAAGGTGCAGACTGATAAAGGAGGAAATACAGCGATTGCTGGACGGAGCAGTGAGTGACAACAACCCCGCCCACGTGAAAGAGTACTGTTTGTGGTGGAAATGCAAAGCAGACCTAGGGTCTAGGTACCATGTCTGAAGGGTTACTTTGGTTTCCAAAGGTACCATACTGAAAGTGTTGGTGGAAATGGGGCTTAAGAGTCATGTAATTTTTTCATTTCATTTTTATCTTTATTTCTTGTACAGGGACAATGTACATTAATGAAATTTTAAAAATAAAATGTAAATGCACCCAATTGTAGCCAAAAGGCTTATTTCCATTGGCCAGAAGGAACACGGCTAAGTGACCTGGTAAAAAAAAACTAAGCATTTTTTGAAAATGACAAGATTGTTCCAGTTTAGAAGCCTGTATTTATCGAGTATTGTGCAATGATGAAAGGATCGTGATATTTTTATCCAGAACTTTGAGAGCTTGTTTATATAAGGATATGACTGGATTTAGAGTAGTGGAGTTCGCAGTGGCCCAGGTTGGTAAACAGTAATTAATATGAGATATTATGAGACAGAACATGTACATGTTTGCAGCTTCTGTAGACATATGATTTCTGAGATGTGTGTAAATTTGAGAATTTTGCTGACTTACTGACTGAGTGAAGTTTAAAGGCGAGATTACTGTCCAACATAATACCAAGATATTTGTATTCGTTTACAATTTGAATTCTCTGTCCTGAAATAAAAACATCAGGTTCTGTGTGTGATTTGTTTGTTTTGGCAAAAAACATAGCAACAGTTTTAATATAAGCGACTATTCAGATTATAGGTTTCACTTCCTCCACAGTTATGTCTTCAATTGTAGTTGACAACTATAGAATTCTGCTCTTAATCATAGCAACCAAAATCTTTTCAGATGGAGGTCCCTGAAATGAAATCTTTTCAAATGGAGGTCTGTGACCACGCTGCACATTTTGTTTTCATTTAAAGTAGTGAGCACACAAGTCTGGGTAATGGAGTGTGCCATGGGCCACAGATTTTCTTGTTTTGCTCAGTTGCTACGGCACACAGAAGATCAGTCATCTTTCTCAGCCCGGTTGTATGTTTTTCTCAGAGGTTCAGTGATTAATCTTTTGAGTTTCAACTGGCATGTTTTAGGATTCACCCCGATTTAATCTATGAGATAAAAAGCCTGCCTGTATGTCTTTGCGTTCCACTCTTTAGTCACATTCCTGGGACTGTGAAACAGACACAGTGGTGATACTAGACTCTGGAGGGCCCCAGGCAAAGAAGTCCATCAGTGGAGTGAATGAAAAAAGAATAAATAGATCATTATTTAATCATAATATTAATAAAAGGAACCCAATTAAACTGTGTGAAACTGTTAGAATCCAAACGATACCCAGCCCTGCTCTTCCACTCCTGTTATTGTATCATTAAATGTCTGGCACCCTGATATACACAAAGCAAAGAGTTACTGCTGTGTAGTAGTGCTCGCCATTGGCATTACAGTAACTCAGTAACCCCAGCTATTAGTTGTACATATCCTCTGGCATCTGGAATTATTGGTTGTGTCGGCACTAATGACTCTTCATCTGTGTTGTCACAGAAACTGGAGACTGAATTTAAAATCCTCATTTACACTTGTATTGACACAGACATGCATCGTTATTGTGTCTGGACACTACACAATGTTGGGTTGTACTATTAATCACATGTCAGGCAGAGGGGATACTGTTGAGCTATTGGGAAACATATACAGGTGGAGATGTACTTGCCTGAGAAAACATTAGCTGTTAACTCGGACCAGCTTGTTTCTGACCGTAAATGGAAAATTAAAAGATTAAAGTCAACCCTGCGATAGAAATGATAACATAAAAGCTTCTGGTATATTTGACTCTGGACTTTGGATCATTGATAAATAGTTATCCTGGTAAAAACAAAATTTGACAAATGATTTTGATACTTTTATGTGTTCATATAGCCTTAGCTCGTGTCTTAATGTCCATTCTTTCTTTTTCCATTCTTTTTCTCTTTTCTGTCTTTCTTTTTAAATCGATTATTTCAAACACAGCCCTTGGTCTACTCCTGACTTGGCAGTGTAAGGCGAGGAATAGAACCTGTGTGCGGACCAAGATGCACATGGGACCCAAATGGCTACTTTGCATTTAGGCACTCAAGGAATAATTGCATAACTGCGGTGAGAGCTGCCAAGTCAGGATGCTATTTGAACTTACCGTCCAAACTCTGGATGCCAGTGAAATCTAAGAATAAAGTCCCCACCCCTTCTCCTCCTCATATTGAATCTGATGACTGTAAAGCTTTAAGACAGAACGATATCTTTTCAGCTCTCTGTAGACATTTTTGTTGCTGCTGGCCATTTGTTTGAAGATGATTGCACACAGTCTCCTCTTGCAAATACAAAGCGTGTGCATCCTGTCTCTGTAGTCTATCCAGCCTTTCACTGCTGATGTTGGCTGTAAACCCTTCTGCCTATAGATATTAAATGTAAGTGTCAGTCTAAAGACCTCTACAGGTTGGTGAATTATTTATTAAAAGGGTGTATATACTGTAGGTTATTCTGCACTGTTCTGTAGTCACTGTGCATATCCATCAAAGATTAACTTTGATCTTACTCAGCAAAATAAGAAAGTTTAAAAAAGTGACACTGAAACTTGGATCCTTGCACTAAACGGTCAGGCAAATTGCATTTTGAGATTAGAAAAATACCATCATGTGGTTGTGACGCTTGGGCTTATGTTGTTTAGGGATAATGGATGCAACATACAGCCGATGTAGTCAGGCGAGCACTGCTGTTTATTATTTAGTGAGCTGCCAAATAATAAAAGTTAAACAGATACAAGCTCTCTGCTTAACAGGTAAATACAAAATGTCCTAGTCTTAGTCCTACATAGTCAATATATCTACATGTGGTGCACGAGATAACGAATGAATGAAAAAATAACAGCCCTCATACGAGTTCACGTTATCTATTCACACCAAAATTCTCCAACAGCAAAGTTAACCATCACACAAATTAACATTACACAGAAAGACACAGAGGCGGACTGCTCAGATTAAATCACAGCCCCCTCTGGCATTTTCACGAGGCAGCTTTTATCAGCTGGAGCGATAGATCCGACAGTCTTGTGATTGGTGGCTAGAACCCACGCAGGAAAAGGCGAGGATCAACTGGAGAACACTGGGGCACAAACACAAGTGGGAGGTCTGGAGGCAGAGCCCAGTGGGAAATCCCTCCAGAGGAGGTGGTGACGAATTTGCCCAGAATGAAGCATAATACAAAGCAGTCACCAGAAGACCGTAACAGTGTTTTTACAGCCATGACAACAGAGTCTCAAG